GTAAGAGCTGTCGTATGTCAGCGTGCACAAGCTCTGCTCGGCTGGGAAGGTAGCCTTTGATAGGCGATTTCTGTAGTGCTTACACATGCCTGATCGACTTTCTGTCCATCTCTACACGTGGTATTATATATCCTAGGAGTGCTATTAAAACACTGTGTTATGAAAGTACGTGAAGACTTTCTGAAGATATCTTCGGGCGGCTAGGTGAGCACTCCTAATACTGGGGTAGACGATTGGAGAAACAATTGACGCTTATTCCTATTCTGCATTCTTGAGTCACCCACTCATTTACTCCATGCATATAGAACCTCAGACACATGATTTCACTGTGGAGAAGGTTGTGGTCTCAGGACAGCAATACAGAGCCAAATAAACAGTGCAATATTTCAGCTTGAATCCTAGGAGGAGGTACCTGCTCTCAAATAATTTTTTACCTTAGTCACGAATCTGCCGTGACCATCACAGACCTGCCAGGCTGTTGCCATGTAGACCTCCACCATCGCACGTTTCAGGATATTTGATCACACTGTGAAAGCTGAGACTGTGTTAATAAAATCAACTGTGGGTCAGGGGGTGGAGCTAGCAACTAAGTTGGCAGGAATTAGCCATAGAGAGTATCAAGGAGCCAAGAAGATGGAGATACACAGAAGAAAGTATGGAGGGACTTGGAGTTTCACAGACTTCTTGGTTTGGGACAACTGAAGAGATTCTCTCTTGCTGGGGCTCTGGCCAAAGAGGAAGGTCAGCTGGTTGCTTCTTGCTTCTGTGAGTTAGCAGGTTTTCACCCCAACATTTGACCCCTGAGTCTCTATTGGTAAACAGAATGGTAAAGTCTTAGTTAAAAACCATATTTGGCAACAGTGGCAGAGCCGGTGCTGGTGGCACCAGAAATCCCATGGCCTGAGCAGTGAGGCACTGATTGCAGGGTCACAGGGCTACAGAAGGTAGTTAAAATACCACTAGATTTAGGTGCAGCTGCTAAGCCAATGAAAAACAACCATCACATGCACAGAAAACATTGTTGTACTGTGTTGCACAATGCTCAACACCCATCTGAGTTCAGTGACAGAAAGCAGAAAGGGTCAGTAAACCTCATTTTCCAATGGACACAGATATGTGTTTGAACAACAGAGTCCTACATGCTAATATTAGCATCTATGTTGGAGAAGCCCAAGTCAATCAGAACACAGAGTCTAGTTTCTTTGGATGGAAACTATACACAGTAGTAGTCATAGGCACACATTGGTTCATGCACGTACTGGTGGTCAAATGGCTAGCTGATTAGCACCATTGCTAGTCTGGAGCTCAAAGCCCATGTACAGGCAGTGAGGCTGTGAAAATGGGGGATGTGGCATATTGTGATGCACCCCTATTTAATTTGAAAATCCCATGCCTTGAACCACAAGTGTAAACAAATGACATCATTCCCAAGAGTTAGTCAGGAAAAGAACCATAATGGGTCTAGGATGCAGATCTCTGCTGTAGATAGGGCTTGATTCAGGGTAGATTCCAGACTATGTGGAAGAGTGGGACAAATGAATGTTCTGTAGGCAATTTTCCTTGAATACCAAGTGGTCTAGGTAAGTGTTCAATGAACATTGGTGAAGCCTTTGATGATTGTCATTGTTACTGTCTTACTGCTGTGAAGAGACACCTTGGCCAAGACAACTTATGAAAGAAAGCATTTAAAATTGTGGACTTGCTTACAGTTTCAGAGGGTATGTCAACTGGATTATTGTCCTTTTGTGAAAACTGGAGATCTGAAGGGAAGGGGGAAGATGAAGTCAATCTGTGTCTGCTAAGAAGCTAAAACTATGTGAACCAATGGAAGCTGGAGAGAATGGAAAGACTACAGTAAGGTAGGAGGGAGAGGGGAAGAGAGGGGAGGGAAAGGAGAGAGAGAGGGGAGGGAGAGGTCAGAAGCAGCCTTTGTAAACTCTGTTTTCCTTTGTTCCCTTTTCAACTTCCAATTGCAAGTGACAGTAGTTTAAAATGCACTCATGAGTTCTTTGATAGTCTTCTTTCATGATTAAGCTGAGTTCTCCATCTTTAGAGGGTAGGATGGATCTCATGAGTAGACTCAAGTTGACGTTATGGTAAATAACTTAGAGGAGTAGATCCCACAGGTGCTCTCTTATTTGAGCCACATGCTCAGAGAAAAGTTAGTTGCCATCTTGGAGACAAACAGCCAAGAACAGGACCCTATGGTAAGGGACCATGCCTTCTGGCAACAGTCAAGGAGGAATTGAAGTCTTTTGTCTCCAGACATGTGAATGGAGGAGTCATCCTATAGACTGATTTAGACAAATGTTCCCATGTAGGCTATGACCTCATGGGACACTCTGAAGCAGGAACACACAGTCAAAGCTTTCATTGGTCACTCCTGATCCCTAGGAGCTCTGGGGACATAATAAATGTCATGAGAAATGATGAAATTTGGAGCTATTTGTTACATAACACTAGCTAATGAATACAACCCAACCAATTTACTTCCGCAAACAACAAAACAGCACAAGTAAAATTAAAACAAAACTCATATTATCCAGAATTCTGAAGGCCAACGGGATACCTGAATATAGCCACCTCTTTGAGGTAAAGTTTGTCCCCACACTCACATAATCCAAAGGTGTTGAATCCATTTGAACGACCCCTAAAGCAATTTCCTCAGGCCAGTGAAATAGTTCAATGGGTAAAGGCACTTGCCACCAAGGCCGAAACTCCGAGTGTGCTCACCCACCCCTCACCGCCCCCAGCTCAGAACTCACGGTTGAAGCAGAAAACTGACTCCCACAATTTGTCCTCAGATTCTCATATGTACATATATCTAATAATAAATTTAATAATTTTTTGAAAGTAACTCCTCATGGTTTGGAGTTTAAACACATAGGCTACTCATGATATCACACTGTATAAAAGAAACAAAAGCCCAACCCAAATATCTAAATAAATCACGAATGTCTCCAAAATAGGAAATGATTTAAGTCCTTCAAAGTTCTCAGAGGAAAGTAAAAGACAATGTAAAAACCAATCCAAAGAGATTACTGACCTCATGAAAAATATTAAAATTCAACTTTATAGATAGAAACAACGTTATGACAATAGCAGGCAGACATACAAAGTTAGCCATCAGTCTAAAATGACTGTAACTCACTTGAAGAGAAAGCATTTGACAAGATTCTGATCCTTAAGTGTGGCAGCTAGCTTAGACCATTGGCAATCAGTAACCACACAATGACGATAGAGACTAAGGCTAGACCATTGGCAATCAGTGACTACACAGTGATGATAGCGACTAAGGCCAGACCATTGGCAATCAGTGACTACACAGTGACGATGGCGACTAAAGCTAGACCATTCTCAATCAGTGACTACACAGTGATGACAGAGACTAAGGCTAGACCATTCTCAATCAGTGACTACACAGTGACGATAGCGACTAAGGCTAGACCATTCACAATCAGTGACTACACAGTGATGACAGAGACTAAGGCTAGACCATTCTCAATCAGTGACTACACAGTGACGATAGCGACTAAGGCTAGACCATTCTCAATCAGTGACTACACAGTGATGACAGAGACTAAGGCTCTTGGGGAGTGTGGCTTGGTTTACATGGTTGGGTTTGTGTGAGGACAGCAAACATGCTTCCATTCTCACGCAACTATGACTACTAACAACCAGAGGCGCCTTTTGGTAGTTGGGTTTCCTTTTGGGCACCACAGCATCTTACTCTTATGCCAACTTCTACTTCCTCTGTGGCACAAGCCTGGCTTTGTGAGCCGCAGCAGAGAACACACATCGAGCTTCACTTACAGCAACAGATGATAACACATGTGTAGGCTGAGTTTTTCCTCAAGACCCACTTGTCCCTCTAGCTGCTCCCAAATAACCACACGGAGACTTATTATTGGTTATAAAGGCTTGGCTGATAGATCAGGCTTGTCACTAGCTAACTCTTACGCTTCAAATTAACCCATATTGCTTACTTACTCTCTTTCAACACTGCAAGTTCATCTTGCTTCTTTCCGAGTCTCCACGAGATGCCTCAGACTCCTCCCTCCTTTTTCCCAGCATTTTCTTTTTTGTGTGCAAGTCCCACCTAACCTCTACCTGCCCAGCTATTGGCCAGACAGCTTCTTTATTAAACCAATCACAGCGACATATATTCATACAGTGTAAAGGTATAGTCTACACAGCTGAACAATGACTTAACAAAAAGTTAGGCCTGGGTGCTAGGACTCTGCTAATCACACCCTCTTCCGGAAAGCTCCTCATGAATCGGCAATCCTAACAGACATGTTTCTCATCAAAATTCAATAGCGTCTCATTAGAGAGCACACATTTTTTGTTTTACTCAGCCTGTTTGAGATTTAATACCAGTATTAGTAACTACTTGTCATCTGGACCTGTGATTTAGTGAGTGTTTGGGGACTGGAATAGCTAAGCCTTGACGGATGGAGGCAAGTGTGGGATCTGCTCATCTTTGACCTTTCAGAATGGTTTCTGATCCTCATTCTGCTTCCCTAACAGGCATCATTAGCGCTGTTTAGTTCATTCCAAATGCTTTTACACCATGGTCCCATTTTGAGTTTTTCTGTACTAATCTTCATCTTATTTCTGGAAATGCCGAGGCAAACAGTGTTTCTAAACAGCCAGGGTGGGAAACTCACTTCCTCCTTTGCTTTTGCTTTCTGTGACCGAGGAGACTTTCTCTCCCCTCTGCACCAGCTGGACATGGCAAGGAAAAGCATAAAGACCTGGCATGGAGGTTCAGCGCATCTTACAACACACACCCCAAAAGATCAGAGCATATTCACACAACTCCTTCCTAAATAAACACAAACATTTTCATAGGCCGAGTCTGACACAGGAATAAAGTTTTTTTCTGTACATCAGTTCAAATATGTCTGAGCGCAAAAGGAAGACACAAACAATCTTAGCACATCTACAAGAGCAAAGGAACACACTTCCAGGCACCCCTGGGTGTGGTCGGTACTCACCCCGCAGCCCAGGCCGTTGCCTCCTTCACAGGTGACTTTCCTCTGGCCCTGTTCAGGCAGTAGCCCAGCTCCGCAGCCAGGACGGGGGCACAGCACGCCGCCCATCTGCAGCACACACTCCTCGGCGCCATACTGCTGGTACCTGTTGTACTGGAGGAAAAGGAAGGCCAGGTAAGCTTTGCACAGTGACCCAGACCCTCTACAGTGGCTTGTTTTTGCCCAACCTCCCAGCTGATGAATTCCGGGACTGCGTCCGTGGTGGGGGTGAGGGAGGACAAGGATGAGGGAGGGCATGGGGGTAAAGGTGTGATCCAGTGCCGAGAAAAGGTTCTAACTCAAAACCAGGTATGGTGCCCAATGCCTGTGACTCCAACACTTGCGAGATAGATGCAGGAGGACTGGAACCCTGGGATACAAGAGACTTTTCTGAAAACTCAGGAACAAAAGTGAAGTATTCATTATACTTTTTTCTTTAAAAGACAGATTTTCCCTCTAAATCTAGTGTTCTGTGACGCTGTGACCATAGACTGTATTTCATATAACTTTTAGGTAGTATGCATATTGAATGGTGCACATTATCCGTACTTACAGGCAATACATATGTTTCTATTTGAGATTTGATGAGGTTTTACAGTCATTTAGAAAACACACCTCACAGCTGCTGACCAGCTACAAGCTGACAGAACAGTCTCCTGTCCTTCTTCTGGATTTCCTTTCCACCAGCTTCATTAAAACACAGAAGGCCCGAGCTGTGCACACACCATTACCTCCAGCCCCACCGACACTACGGTATCTATAATTTCAACTCCAACCCCATCCTCACCCTCGGCAGCCCGAGACTTTCAGGGAGAACTCAGGCCAGCCCCAAGGTGCAGCCAGCGCTTCCTGAACAGGAGTGAAAGGTGGATCAGACTTCCGCTGGACCAGAAGAAGATGCAAGCAGGCTTGAGAAGGAAGGTGGGTAGGGGCGGGGCCTGGAGGAGGGAGAGAGCAGCCCTGGGGAGAGGGCTCCATCAGAAAAGCGTGCTGTCTGTGCGTGTGCACGTGTGTGCCGAGGAGCCGCTCTTAATATGCGAGTGAAGTTTCTGAGTTTGCTCTTCCCCTTCTCCCACAGCCAGGCAGAGGTCTAGGTCTACAGCGCCACATCTCTTCTCTAGCTTGGGACAGTCCCTGGCCTCACTCACTGTGGCTGGAGTGACACCCTAGGGCAGAGGGGACCCTGAAAGCTCTGCCTTTATTCCCTTCTCCCTGTCACCCTGCGGCCCTGGGGGCGCTTTAATCTGGCAGTCTGGAGATAGGTTAAACGCCCCCTCCCCGACGCGGGATCCTGGTCTTGGGGTGTAATTCTGGAAGCCCCAGGTGACGCCCACTTCACTTCGGTCACGTGCCCCCTTTACAGCAGAAGAAAGGGAGTTCATTGGGGTTCCCTCCTTCACCTCGGCTGCCCCCAAGAGTCCACCTGTGCCTCTGGGGTTCCTTCCTTGTCTAGGTTTGGGGTGGGTGCTAGGAATATGTCTCAAGATGGTACTGTGGCGAATCCCATGGTGGGGAGGGGGAGGAGCGACACAAACGTGCCATCAGGCAGAACTTACGTGGGAAGGGAGTTTTATTGGTAAGGGATGGGAATGGGGGAAGGGAGAGAGAGGGGAGAGAGAAGAAAAAGAGAGCAAAAGAGAGAGACAGAGAGAAAAGAGAGAGGGGGAGAGATAGAGGTCTGTCTGTCACCTCGCAGAGATAACGGGGGAGAGAGGAGGGAGGGAGGAAGAGAGAGAGAGAGAGAGAGAGAGAGAGAGAGAGAGAGAGAGAGAGAGAGAGAGAGAGAGGAGGTGGGTGGAGTTTGCCTCTAAAGGAAACATTGGCACTTGCCTGCAGACTATGTAGTGACACAGCAGCCATAGGACCCTGGGCTGGCCAGGGTACTGCCTGAGTGCATTCTGCCAGGTGACAGGGGGCAGGCCCAGCTAAAGCCTGAATCCTAACAGTGGGGACACCTGGGATCCCTCTTCTATTAGGTCATGTGCTTAGTACCATTTTGGGGTACCAGACGTCGAGGCTCCTTCTGCCAGAGTTCTAGGCTGTTCTCCACGGAGACTGTTGCTGTGATAAAACACAGACCAAAAGCAACTTGTGGAGGAAAGGGTTTAGTCTGGCTTACAGCTCACAGCCCAGCATCTGGTGAAGCCAGCCTCAAGCCGGAGCCTAGAGGCAGGAACTGAAGCAGAGACCCAAGGTGCTCACTGCCTTGCTTCCTCCGGCTGGTTCAGCAACTTATCGTATACAGCCCGGGCCCACCTGTCCAGGCATGGAGACCCTCATCCCTAGGTGCTCTGGGCGCTCTGACATCAGGTAGCATTTTTTTTTTCCGAAACAGGGTTTCTCTGTATTGCTTTGGAGGCTGTCCTGGAACTAGCTCGGTAGACCAGGCTTGGTCTCGAACTCACAGAGATCCGCCTGTCTCTGTCTCCCGAGTGCTGGGATTAAAGGCGTGCGTCACCACCGCCCAACCAATCAGGTAGCAATTTAAAGAGTGCATCACAGACACACCCACAGGCCAGTGGGATGGAGACAGTCCCCCAGTTGAGGCTCCTTCCTAGGTGACTCTGTTTTGCGTCAAGTTGACGAAAACCAATCAGCGCTTAGTGCTGGTTAGTTGTATGTAACCGTGACGTGTGGAATGTGTGCTCCTGGCTTCTTGTCTGAGTTCTGGTTCTGGTAGCGGTGTCCTCAGCCAGTGGAGGATATCTGCAGTTTCACGGGAGCACAGTGTTTCCACATTACTGTTCTGACATTATCGAATCGGCTTCTAGCCTCAGATCAGTGAAATGGATCCGCTGAGTTATAAACCGATTTATGCAGCGACATTTGCCGAGGGTCCGCCCTGTGTCCACCGGTTTGGGGATGGAACCCTGAGAAAAGCCAACCGCTCTGTCCTCTGGGGGTGATCACAGAAGACACCGGACCAGGCTCAGCGCCTGCAGTGGGGGCGAGTGAGGGAATGAGAAAGGACAGGCTCTGGGGGAGACCATCGCCACCGGGGTAAGCTGTGGCTGGGAAAAGCCGCACAGACGAGGCACACTTAGGCAGGAGGAGATATGTAAGCCTGTGGCTCCTTGGGGCAGGAGTTCTGTAGACACAACAGCGGACGGTACAAAGGTCCTGGGGCCACATAGACTTGGCTGGTGTGAGGGATGGCTCGTGATAGCTGTGGGATTGAGGCCGAGTGAACGGGGGGGGGGGTATGACAGACGGCGAAGGCAGAAGGGTCATGGGGATCCTGGGTGTTTGGGTCCCCGGTGGCCACTGTAAGAACTCTGGCTGTTTCTCTAAAAGATACTGGAGCCCTTGGAGAGCTCTGAACAGAGGAGCGGTGTGAGTTGACTGATGTCTTAGAGGCACCTGTCTGACTGATATGCTCAAAATAGACTCTTAAGGGCACCGGGGCTGCAGGAAGCAGGGCCGCGTGCCTGAGCTCTTTCTGGCAGTCGGTGTGAGTGATGATGTCAGCCTGAACCAGGGAGATGGCATGGAGGTGGAACCAGTGGCTAAATCTGGACATACTGAAAGGTAGAAACCCTAGAATTTTCAGGCAGATTGCTTGGCTGGTATTAGAGACAAAGAAGAGGCAAGTTTGAGTGTGTTATTTCCCTTACAAGATGGGGAAAGGGATTTATTGGAATAAGTATAGGTGTGTGTGTATATGTGTGTGTATTTACTTCTACCACACTTATGTTCAACTTGATCACTTTTTTATACACAAGCAAGTGGGAATGTTGTGCAACTTGGGGAATGGCTTAATTAATTTAGAAGGTGTAGGTTGTGGGTACAAATTTAAAGTTATCAGGCCTCTCCTGTTTCCTTACTTTTCTGACTTCCTTTTCTAGGCAGATTTCTTATTAGTGAGGGTCTTTGTCATAAGAAGAAACCATGGCTGATTACAGTTTGTGAGACAGGGTGAGTCCAGTCCATTAGAAATGACCTTACTACAGAATCTCTACATCCATTCCGTGTCTTTTTGTACGGCCCTGTACTGGGAACATGGGAAGATGCCTTACCAATGATCTGTATACATTGTAAAGATAGAATGAATTAGTGGGCTCTATTAAGTTCTAATAATTCAAGAATTCTAATAAAACAATAGCAATGGGAATTAGTAATGGTGGTTTAGGATGGCTTTAAAGTACTTGTTCTTAATTAGAGGTGCTATTCAGTGGTAGAACATTTGCCTAGCATGCATAGTACCCTGGGTTTCACTCCTAACAACAACACCACACACACATACAACAACAATAACACACACATATGCACACAGAAGCACACACACACATGGGCGCACACACACATACCCACGCACACATACAACAACAACAATGACAACAATAACACACACACACACACACACCACATACTTCACAGTAACTGGTGATCTTCTCTTCATTTAACCACTGTTTACTTAGCCCTTTACTTACTGAACTTTTTCCAAGGAAGTTTGCCCCATGGACAAAGGCTGACAGCACAGCAGAGGACTCCCCTCACAGTTGTCTCAAACGCCAGTTGTACATGCAAAGTTAAGCTCCTCTTTCTACCCGTCAACTAACACGTGTGACTTTTCTCTTACTTCCAATAAACTTTAGAGCACTGGATAAGCTATTCCTTTTCTGAGGGAAGAGGAATACTTCAGCATATGTCTGTGATTTCTAGTGACTAAAAATTACACATGGGATTTGCATGTGCTCTTTGAAGGCATATTTGTATGTGTGCATTGTTGCTTGCATACAGAAGCCAGAAGACACTGGTTAGCTTGCGCTATCATGCTCCATTTTGTTTGCCTGAGGCGGGGTCTCTTACTGAGCCTGGCGCTTACCAGTTGGCTAGGTGGCTTAGCTAGGCTGGTGGCCCACATTCCTCGTTTGTCTTCTGGTCTCTCTCACCCCATGCCTGGTGTTACAGATACTTCTAGACACACCCAGGTTTTAAGGGAGTTCTGGGGATCTGAACTCGGGTCAACATCTTGCTCAACAAGGGCTTCTCCTCACTGAACCATCTCCCCAGCCCATACACTATGAAATTTATAAGAAAAACTTTTGACCTAGAACTAATAATGTGATAGTATTGGAAGAAAGCTTAATGCCCTAAGGGAATAGTTCAGACAT